CCATCATTGAGCCTTTTGTATTTCATACAAACCGGAATAGACGATGGATTTCGGTGGATGTTGCCCCATCAGTAACCCACAGCGCACTGATGAGCTCAATGTAAACATGATAGCCTCAAGCAACGCTTTACTGCCGGAGTTGACCGAAAAAGTAAAGGAATGCATAGGAAAAACTACTACAGCCTGCTTTATTCTCGGCTACCCTCGTTACCAGCAGGACGAGAGAGAATCAACTTGAACTCCATGTGAAAGTCGATGACGTCGAAAATTCCGAAAACTAAAAAACCCACAGTTACTGAAAATTCAGTTCTCAAATAGACCTCGGACATGGCCGAGTGCACCGTAGCGACAGGCTTTAAACAACAGACCATCAACATCTTATTCATCTCTCTTCTAGTGAAAATCGTTCGCGGAATCCAAGCCTCAGCTACAGCAGACGACGACCTCGAGTTGTCTCTAAAGATCAGAAGAGTATTCGCGCAACTAACATCTGGATATTGTAGTTCAATAAATTCCCACATATGCAACGAATATCCTTCCTGCATGCAAAGAGACTCCGCACGACACTAACCCCTCCTTTGCATGTCCCCTTCCCCTTTGGTTCAAACCCGTCGAAACAGCATGTTTCTTGGACCACGCGTAAGATAACCCCGATGACTTAAACAAGTCTCGTCTGCTTCTAAGCGCGGTTTGAGAACCGATACAACAAAAAACTTATGAGCCACTGAATATGTTACGATCCAAATGGACGTAACAAGCCCTACCATTCTGCATGAGTAAGAACGCTCCCTCGTATATAAATGTTAGCACCCGAACTCAGTCTTTCTTGATTGTTAAAATCTAAATTGCGTTCAACTCTTTCATCTGTCCACAGAACATATGTTGTTTTTTTCTTCTGTTTGTTAGGGAAATAAACATTTGCTAAAGCTCATTTCACACCACTAAATAAATTCACCGTTCTACGTCAGCACAACATATGTAGACATAAATATGGTTCTTTTTTTTGTTTTTTTCTTTTGTTTTTAGAAAAAACATTTTCACGTGTATAAGCATTCATCAACAAAAAAACAACAACAACAAAATTTGTTTAATAGTTTTATTTAATTTTTTTATTTTAAACAACAAATGGCAATGTTAGCAATAAATTTCTATTTTACTCGTACATTCATACATACACATATATTTCCAAACAAAAAAAAACATGGAAATTTGTTTGTTTTTTATTCAAAATGACGACAGTCGAAAGTGAATTGAGAAACCCCCCAAATGTTTGATGGATTAAAGAGCTGAAGACAAAGATAATATTTACTCAGCTCCTTGGCGCAAAGGAATACCAGCGGGAAGCCCCTTATGTTGCCGTTATTTGCAGTTGTCTTTGTTGTCGTCGTTGTTATTGTTGTTGTTGTTGTTGTTGTTGTTGTTGTTGTTGTTGTTTTCATTGTTGATGTTGTTTTTGTTTTTGTTGTTGTTCTTGTTGTTGTTGTTGTTGTTGTTGCTGCTGTTGCGGTTAACTCCGCTGAAACACAAGTTAATTAATCTAAGTCGCCGAAATCACCTAAAGCGAGGTCCAGGAAATATACTGTTTCGACGGCTTAAGGAGGGCATGTGAATAGGTGGTTAGTGTCATGCGGAGACTCTCCACATGCAGGGCATACCTCAGCTAAGTTGGGACCGAGTCTGGATAGGTATGACTTTAACCTGCTACAGTATTCAGACATAAGTTCTGCCAGTTCAACGCACCGCTGGTGAGCTGGATTTTATCCGGCCAAGAGCTGTCAGTCTTTCGGCGACCTAACTCCGTTTAGCTCAACATGAAGCTCCTTATCTTCTCTTCTCTCTTAATTCTGGGCACAAAACTCCAGCCTTACAAAGCCCACAATTGTAAGATATGACGTACGAGATGTATGTTAAAACATTTACCTTACATTACTACAAATATTTTGTTATTTTTGTTGTTTTAATGAGACACCAACCCCTCTTAGGCGCAGATGTTAGTCAATCGAGGCCATCATCTAACAAGAGATCCAGGAAACAGGCTATCGCGATGGAAAGAGGTAGTTAGTGTCGCGCGGAGACTCATTGCTTCTACATTGGAGGGTTCAAGTCTGGATATGTGGGAATTAAGTCAACTACGAAATCCAAATCTCAGCTAGTAGGACGAAGTACTTCTTCGGGAATATTGCGGGAGTGACAGTCCTTGACCGACGTCACAGGTACTACTGCATACAAGTCGCCTCTTACGAAAGTCATAACCTACCGTGGGTAAATGCTTGAAGAGAGGTAGTCAGATCTCTTCGTCAGCAGTTGATTGTGCTCTCTATTTTGTAACATGAATATTCCACATCATGCACCAAGTGGTATATGAGATCAATGAGAGCATTTGCTGGAAATACAGTGCCCTACCAAACTCCTTGTTTGATCTTACGTAGTTTGAAAGTCTCAAGCTCTGTCTACCACTCAGGTACCACACAGTCCACGCCAGCGGTGATGTGTAATCATCAATATTCGATAGTAGCACTGAATGGTTGACAGTCTTAAAGATGTTTCACAGATCCAGTGCAACCAGAACGTTTCGGACGCAAAGCCGTTTTGGGTTAAGGTCATGAACTAACTGGGTGTTTATAACGTTAAATGAGGGATGGTATTGTGACGTCCTGACGTACTGCTGGACTCGGATTGTGTGAGGGAGACAGGATCAGCAAGAACTCAATTATCTTCGCTACTGAGGAAAGCAAAAATGTCAGCCGATATGCTTCTTTCGATTTAAGTAGCGAGACCAGCGGCACTAATTTTCCACATATCGGGTATTATTAGGGTGGTCGGAGAAAGATTGAGAACCTTGGTAGTCTGCTTCCGCTGGTTCAAGATGTTTTAGCACCAGCATGATTATTCCATCCAGACAGATACTGCTCTATTAATTAACTAAAATACGTTTTTTTTTTTAATTCACACTCAGCTTTTTTGCCATTTTGCGCTTACTTTCCTCTAAGATTTCTCCACTTTTCCTGTTCATAACCTTACGAGAAACACGTGATTGCGATTTCATCATAATATATGTAATCAAATTCACACCACACATTCCCAACTACTCATATGTATATGTATGAGTGTATATACTTTTACCGGTCGATCAAATTATCCAATTTATTATACAATAATTGGAATTGTGATTATGTAAAAAGAAGTATAATTAAAATATAATGCAAATATTAAATGTAGCAAATACATACAAACCTGCGCACTTATGTAAGTATGTATAAATGAAGTGGATATGTTAACGTTTACTTGGAAATACGTGGAGAACATCTAGCACGCACCACAACCGAATTAGGATTGAATTCTAAATAGATTAAAGAGTAGCACTTAATTATACCCCCTGTTTTTCTCATCCCCCCAAGAAGTGAGCGAGCCTTAGCGTAAAAATTATTAAAGTTAAAATAAAATAAATTTATTCTTTTATAATAAATTAAAACAAAAAAAAATTAAAACATTAAATAAAATATAAACACAAATCAAAATTATAATAAATAAAATGTAAAATAATAAAAAATAAAATAATAAAAAATAAAATAATAAAAAATAAAATAATACAAAATAAATTAATTAAAAATAAAATAATAAAAAAACTAAAAATATATGTATAATATTAAAAAAAACACATATCAAAATAAAAATATATTTTATAAAAAAATATAAATTAAAATAAATAAAATGTAAAATAATAAAAAATAAAATAATACAAAATAAATTAATAAAAATTAAATTAATAAAAAAAAAATAATAACAAATAAAATAATAAAAAATAAAATAATAAAAAATAAAATAATAAAAAATAAAATAATAAAAAATAAAATAATAAAAATTAAATTAATAAAAAAAACAATAACAAATAAAATAATAAAAAATAAAACAATAAAAAATAAAATAATAAAATATAAATAATAAGAAAATAAAATAATAAAAAATAAAATAATAAAAAATAAAATAATACAAAATAAAATAATAAAAAAATAATAAAATAATAAAAAAAAATAATAAAAATAATAAAAAAAAAATAATAAAAATAATAAAAAAAAAATAAATATGTATAAAAAATTTTTAAACAAAATAAAAAATATAAAAGAGCAATAAAAAAATAAAACAAAAAATATAAAACAAAAAATAAAAAATAAAAAAATTTTAAATAAAAATTATAAAATATATAATATAAAATATATAATATAAAATATATATTATAAAAAATTTATAAACAAAAAAAAAAGAGTAATAAAAAAATAAAACATAAAACAAAAAACAAAAAATATAAAACAAAAAATAAAAAATATAAAAATTTTAAATAGAAAATATAAAATATATAATATAAAATATATATTATAAAATATATATTATAAAATATATATTATAAAATAAAATAAAAAATAAAAATAAAAATAAAATAAAAAATAAAAATAAAATAAAAAATAAAAATAAAATAAAAAATAAAAAATAAAAATAAAAATAAAAAATAAAAAAAAAATAAAAATAAAAAATAAAAAATAAAAAATAAAAAATAAAAATAAAAAATAAAAATAAAATAAAAGATAAAATAAATAAAATAATAGAAAATTAAAAAATAAAATAAATGAAAGGAATCAAAGCAAATAAAGAAATATTAAGTAATTAAAAAAAGCAAATAATTGGGGGAGGAAAATTTAAAATAATATTAGAAAATTAAGCAGAATTTAAAAAAAAAAATAAAAAAAATTAAAAATAAATTCCCCAAAAATGTAAAATAAAAAGTATAAAATCATAATTAATAAAAAATTCAAACAAAAATATGAGGGGAAAAATTTAAAACAATATTGAAAAATTAAGAAGAAATTAAAAATAAGAAATAATTAATCTAAAACTTTGCGTTTTGTTAAAAAAAATTAATGTGAAACTTGTGAAGTTGAGTTTTTCCATATAATTCTTTTAAATTATGCGTAAAAGAAAAAAAATAAATTAAAATGCTTTTACAGAATTTTTTCGCGATTTGTGCATAAGTTGCGCTGCTAATTCGAAACGCTAAAAAATAAAGCAACAAACAACATATAAATACCAAATAAAAATACAAAAAGGTGCATAAAAAGCATATGAAAAGTCATTTTAAAGTACATTAATCGTGTTCAATATGTGCATATGTATGTATATGTATGTATGTATTCACATGTTCAACTACGAAACGCACAACAACGAAGGTATTGAAATAAACAAATAATAAGAAATAAAAAGCGGTGAAAGAAATTATAATAAAAAATTACGAAAAAAATACTTGAGAACCACCGGATATTGTTGAGTCATCCCCTCCCTAGACACACTCAAGGAGTTCGATTGTGGTTTTCCGCACCAACAGCCACGGCCTTCAATGGAAAATTGTTATTTCGAAATTTGAAACGTATTTTTTGAGCTCGCCTTAACGTCTGTCTACGTTTGTGGTTTTACGAGCACAATTCGCTCACCAAATTACGCGCGACGCCGGCTTGCATACGAACCACTTCTTCGGCGCGCCGCAATATTGCAACGAAATGTGATTAATTTATTTGGCATTTCTTTATTGTTGTGTACTCTTAATGTGCTTGAGTTCGTCGTTCGTGACAACGTTGACGCCACCCACCAGCAAAGCTGTCAACAGCCTTGCACGGCGGCAAGCTCATAATTTTACGTCGCCGCCGCCGCTACCTCACAACTATTGACGGACATGCCGCAGTCATTAGCGAGACTGAAAATCCCGTGATCTCGGGTTTTGTGTGTCGTCGCCTCCTAACGCCCCTCTTACCTGACCTTAATTGTTGATTTTATTTGTCGTTCAAAAGATAACAAAAACAACAACGACAACAGAAGCATTTATCACCCACATCTCGTCGCAATCACTTGAACTTGTTGATCAAGCATCAACCGCAAACGCGCACAAACGAAATGACCAGAACAGAGAACAGTCGGTGGCAGCAGCAGAAGTAGAGATAGAGATAGAGCGGACATCAGACGCGATCTGCGCTCTTCTCGACTGTTTGCGTCTTTCAGTGCCACAGCGCGTTCCAACAGTCCGTCGCTCCGCTTCTTAATTGTTTGTACGACAGATCGTTGTGCGCTCCCGTCATAAATATACCTTCGTCCGGCGTCACTCGGCTTCATCTGCGATCTACGGGCGCACAAATACCACAAAATTCTCATTCACAGTTCACAGCGATCGCGGCAAATATTCGAAAATTAAACTGAATGCTGCTCGTTTCTCACAAATTAGCGAGAATCAGCAACAATTTAGCCAACCAAGAAGAGATTGTAATTGTGCGCTCTAAGTGGGTGTTGCCAGCAGCACGAAGCGCGAGGGAAGTTGCACTGCGCACGACGAATAACATCCACCAGTTGATTTGTTTATTACTCGGACGCCTACTCTGCTCGGCCCGTTGGTACGTCATCAGTCCGTGTTTGTCGCGTCGGCTGACGGAAATTGGCGCATCATTCGAGGGGCGGACGTATCGGATGAGACGGACCACGTAAACACAAGTGTCTCATATATTTTAGCGTGTCTTCACATAAGATGAAAATCTCAACCGCAGTACGGCAGGCAACCTTCGGACGTTGGCAGCGTTAATATGTACGTGCATTTGTAATTTCCCGTGGGAGATAGTGATAGAAAAAGTCACAGCATGTGGGAGCACGGGGTATGAGAGGAGCTCGCGAAAAAAATCAAGTTAATGAATTTATTTTATTAATGAATTAACGCCAGGCACAGGGACATACCTAAATACAAAAAGAAAAAAGGAAAAAAACAAATTAAAGAGCATACAAAGTCTACAAAAACAAGTAAAAGAAGCTCTGTGCGATGGTTAAAGCATAAATCAGCATTTCCTTTCAGTTTATCGTTGCAGTTGAAATATTTGCATTCGAGCTTGGGGACTCAAGAGACGATACATACTTACTTGCCCACATAGTACATACAAACATACATATTTACATTCTAAACTCAACTAATAAAAATTAAGAAACAACATTACAACGACGAATACGCCTTCGTCTTCCTTTTGTTCTTCCTCTTCTTCTTCTTCTTGTTATTTATGCAAGACAGCCGCTACGAAGACGACGACGACGACGACGACGACGCAGACCGCATTGCTAATGAGCTGAAGCGCATAACAGCGCCTGGAAGCGTTTAAACAACATAAAAATGCACACCCACAATTTGTATTGAAGCAACGTCTAGCCAACGCTTCCTGCCTGCGACCGCTGTCGAGCCTGCGAGCGTGCTTAAAGTCGTACGGACGGTGAGCGACAGCAACAGTAGCTGTCCCGTAGGCACAGCTAGAGAGAGAGAGAGAGAGAGAGAGTGGTTTTGTTGCTCGTTGAACCGCCACCACCCCCAAACAGGCGACGACAGACGCGCAGCAATGGCAGCCTCAACGCCGGATAACTATAAAGTTCCATCGACGAGCAAAATCTCCGTGGATAAGCTATTGCGTGTCGGCTACTATGAGTTGGAGAAGACAATTGGCAAGGGAAATTTCGCCGTAGTAAAATTGGCATCGAATATAGTCACCAAGTCGAAGGTAAATATACAATTTTTAAACTACACTACTTAGCTATTAGATAAATATATTTAAGATACATATATATAATATATACATAATAGTACACAGAATTCAGCAGCGCTCATGTAAAAGCCATACATACATACATACATTATATACATAATAGTACACAGAATTCAGCAGCGCTCATGTAAAAGCTTGAGTCAAGCTCCCAAAAGATTATATGCACGGATTGTCAGAAGGGGTAGATAGAACAGGACAGACCAAGGTCCCCTCTGGCATAGTACTGACCAAAAGTAGTTTTCCCTCTTCTTCTTATTAACTGGCGTCGGCACTATTATAACCGAGGCAACAAGTTAGTCGCCATTCGTAGACGCCAACTGAAACCAGACTTTTCTTCACCTGATCTTTCTAACGAAATGGAGTTCTTCCTCTGCTTCCACCGGCGGTCACTGCATTGAATACTTTCAGTACTGGAGTATTGTAATTCACCTATTCATGACCAGCGCAACCTGTGCCTTGTCGCCGCACTGTCGTTCATCTCATCGTGAACGGTATTCGCTGTCGCCCATCCATAAAGGTTAATAAATCGTTGGCGAAACCACAGTACTATCGACGTGGTCATTCTTTATTCAGCTCTGCAGCTCGTATTATTATTTCCCGAATTAAGTTAAAGAAGTCACAGTATAGATTAGCTCGATAAAAAGATGGTGTATGTTGATCCTTCTCTCTTTTCCAAGAGTTGATACTTTCTCCATATATGCCTTATGTTGGATTGCCTAGGTCTTAACTGATGAAATCCATTCAGTTCGTAAACAGTGGCCTTCAGTCTTTCACCCGATAAGACCTGATCGTTTGCTATTCTTCAAGCGGGACATCGCTATTCGAACTTCCTCATAATCGGTTGTATCTTATTGTTTCATTTTCACTGCGATTTAACACGCTGGAAAAGTGTTCCCTCTATAACTTCTGCATGCTCTGAGTATCGATCAAAGGCAGCTCGTCTTTCTCTACTTAAATAAGTGTGCTCCGGTTCTGAATGCTTCCAAAAGTATGGCCACATTTTCTCAGAAAATTTTCGAGCCTGCCGGCCGGCTTCTCACGCTAATCACAACCAGGCATATCGGCTTTTCTCTATTTTTCTGTCTGCAATTGCATTTCGCTTACCTCTCACTCTTTGTATCACTTACACAGCACGCGGTGCGGTCGAGATAGCCAATATTTTTTCTCTCTACTCCAATACGACATTCAACGTATTAGCGCTCTTATTCTGATCCTGTCGAAAACCAATAGTTTTGTTAACAACATAGTTCTCTTATAGCAAGTTTCTGAATGCTCTCAACGAGCAGGCTGACTGTTGTGATTTCAGCATTTCGACCTCAGACCGTCTTTGTGTTTGTTGACACGCTACCTTTGGTACAAAAAGGCGGGAGCGTAACTTTGCTCCTACAATATAGTGGTCTCTCGATCGATGTTGGGTTCTCGGAGTGTACGTACGCACATCAAGAACACTAGTGACATGTTGTCCGTCTATCACAACAGAATCGATTTGGTTGTTAGTTTTTCATCTGGAGACGGCTAAATAGCTTCATTTATTTTCTTGTGCTGGACAACTAGTACCACAGGCAACTATATTTCGTGCGCCGGTGAAGTCAATGAGCCTCAACCCCTTTGTGGATGTTTCTTTTTTTCGAGGCAATCATAAAGAGCATCCTGGTCTCACCGGAATGTTGCGAGATGTTCATCAACTGAAGTGAATGCCAGGACTCGGCGACTGAATCATTTCTTACTTTAAGTAAATTTTATTAAACACCGCATAGTGTATCCTTGGATGTCCAGAATTCAAATATTTCCATATATAAGTACTTAAAGAATTATGCATTTTGGTGTTTTTTTTTTTATAAAAATTATTTTTTAATATAAAACATTATATTAAAACGACAGCCTCGTGAATTTTTGCAAACTTCGATTTGTTTGAGTTAATTTTCGATCACTTCTTGGCACATATTGAGCGGTACTTCAGCCATAACTTGGCGAATATTGTTTTTCAAGTGATCGAAAGTTAAAGGTTTATTTGCATAAACGCGATCTTTCGCTTAGCCTCACAAAAAAACTCCAATTGTCTCAAACAACGAGGTCTCGGTGGCCAGTTAATATCGCCAAGGCGAGAGATTCCGAGACAGATTTGCAATAAAACCATATTCGTTAGCGTTGTGTGGCGTGTGGCACCATATTGTTGAAGCCACTTATTTGCCAAGTGCAAGTCAAAAAAAGGTCGGTTGTCATACTGCTCCGAATTGACAGTTAAGAGTCTCGCCTTTGTTGTTTTTCAAAGAAGTAATATCCGAGAAATAGACAAATTCAGATCTTCGGGTTTGAATGGAACTATGTATGTGTATATATGTACATTCTCGTATATACCCGTAATTCTTATTTTATTACTTTTCTTTTCGCTTAAAACACAACAGAAGTAGGAAGCGCGCTCAAAAAAAAATTTATGTATATACAAGTACATATATATATATATATAAATATAGGGGAAAAATGCCTTAATAAACTATAGTCTTTTGTTTTGCTATCTATTTTATATGCACAAGGTATAAATGTTTATATGAGCTTGTAAAAGCATAGTCATAAATAAATACATGTGCACATACACGTACATACTTGCCCATCTACCTACTAATACCTACGAATTTTTGTGTGATAAGCTCTCTAGAAAGTGCGATAAGCCTCACAACAAATATTCATACTTAACTTACTCGCACATACATACATACATACATACATAGTATATAGGTTTATACACATTCTTATTAGGCCGGTCAAATCCGGTCTGATGCGGAATCGCCGGCGGGTGTGCTCTGCACGGCTCTTAAATCGCAATTTGAATTAGTTTGCAAAGCATATACATATATATATGTATATATAATATGTTAATACGTGTATATATATATATGTATGTGTATGTAATAATATATATGTATGTTTATGTAAACACATATAAAACAACAAGTTTATGTATATATATAATTTGCCACATTTTTTGGTATGTAAAGAAATTCTTACGCATAAATATCTGAGCCACGAATGCCTGAAGCTGGAGCCCCGTCCACAGTAGTATTTAAAAAATTTAAGATAAAATATTTTCTCAAAGTTCGCTAGAAAACATTAACAATCGTTCATTGTGACTTCAAATCGAAGTCCTTTAATTTCTTTTCTTTTCTTTCGGCACCGTATTTGAATAGCTCAAGTCGGTACTCCACCGGCACGCGCCACTTTGCTATTTTTCAAGCAGGCGATCGCTATTCGAATTTTCAAATAATCGCTGGATGGAACATGTGTGTCGATCCTTTTCTCGCGGACATCTTCATTGGTAGGTGGCGCATTTATGCTATCATCATCGATTGGAGAATCGAGTCCGTCATCTCTGGTTGTCTAATTTTCACTAGACGGGCTAGAGAAGTTTCCCTACATAAACTCTTTATATTCTCAGCATCGGTTACTATACTCATGACATAAGTTGCCACATTTTTCCAAAGAATTTTCGGGCATTATGATTGCCGGACAGCTTCTGAAGTTCTGCATACTCACTCCGTCTAACTGTTTTCGAGCATTACCCCGCTCGGTCAGTTTTTCAAGCTCTTCATACCTACGCATTTCGGCGGCACCATCGAGCAAATGCGTTTACCAACAATTCTGGGTTTATTTCGCATTATATTCGCATTGCGATGCCTTTCTCTACACTGCGTCACAACATTTACTATCGTATTAGCTTTTCTTTCGATATTTTCGAAAGTTAATTGTTTCTTTGGCGGCGATACGTAAAGAATTTGCAGTACTGTTTCACAGCACTCGTAAACAAGGTGGTGGACGAGCAAAGACGGTTTCCTGGCACGAGCTCTTTGCTGCCGAGTGGCACGGGCAGGTGCGTATCTTTACTGTGACAAAATATTGATCCAAGTCGCTTTGGTTACGCGGTTTTATACCCGATAGCAGCCAATTAGCTTGATGGCTTTTTATAATGGAATCTGGTGGTACAAATAAACAAGTTTTGGGCCCCGACGAAGCAACAGCGCAGGCTATATTTTCCAAGGATACCTTCGATACCTGTCTGTCTAGACGACACAATTAAAAATTCACAGAAAACCCTTGAAGCACATAATGATCCTAAATTATTCTAGATAAAAAGGGATGCCAAAAATTCAAACATTTACGTCCGTGTAACATTTTAAAGATAATTTGAGGAAATAAAAAAGAGATGTATTCTGCTCTGTACTGTCTATCTGCATAAATTCTAATTTGGAATACAACAATAACCTAAAATCTGAAACTCGCACGGACAAAAGCTAATAACTTCCTCAATAAAACTCGTTACTTTATAAAGCATAAACATAGTACTCGCACTACTTATCAATACCTTTGATTCATTTATCGATAATCACTATTGGTGACAAATAGAACTATTTCTTAAGACCATTGAAATGTCTTGTGCTTACACCCAGAATTCAGCAGTGAAGGTAAAACTCTATGCAGTACTCAGCAATTAGAATTTCATGAGGTTTCGATATTTTTATGTAATTTATATTGTAACATTTTTTCAGATTTTTTAGTCCGCTAAAAAGTATTTCAAAGCAGAAGGAGTTACGTTGAAAATTATCGAAATCGTATATCCCTCATACAATCGATTTATTCAAAAATGAGGTTTTCGGTCAAAAATCGTTTGAAAAGCATCACTGAAAAACATCGAGATCGGAGGACTATATCATATATCCCTCATACAATCGATTTATTCAAAAATGAGGTTTTCGGTCAAAAATCGTTCGAAAAAGCATCTAAGAGCATGAAATTTGTGTATTCTACACATGTCTTCACAAATAAGCATGGTCACTGAAAAACATCGGGATCGGAGGACTATATCATATATCCCTCATACAATCGATTTATTCAAAAATGAGGTTTTCGATCAAAAATAGTTTGAAAAAGCATTTAAGAGCATGCAATTTTTGTATTCTACA